GGGCATGGTGGCGCATGCCTGTAGTCCCAGCTACTCGGGAGGCTGAGGCAGGAGGATCGCTTGAGCCCAGGAGTCTGAGGTTGCTGTGAGCTAGGCTAACGCCACGGCACTCTAGCCCAGGCAACAGAGCCAGACTCTGTCTCACAAAAAAACCAAACAAACAAAAAAAACCAACCTTCTAAAACTTAAGCTAAATCTCTGAGCATTGTTCTTTTCACCAAAAAGCATCGCAGAAAAACATACCTTATCTCCATCCATAAATCTTTGTTTTTCTGTGATGTTTAGGATTTCCACAGGCACATCAAGTTCAGATCTTGACTCGTAAGATATGCTTCCATCATCATTGCTAACAACACGCCCCTTGCGGCCAGTCATCTGAGAAAACAAACAGTGTCATAAGCCATCCAACTATGGTGCTTAGAGCTCAGTGCCTCCTTCCTTAAACTTGGGATACAGAAGCACAGGCTGTGCTGCACCAGGCACTGGGGGATACAGAACACCGGAACACAGTCCCTGGGAAAAGCAGCCTTGACCACAAAAGGTGCAGGACAAGTACAGTAAATGAGACCAACTGCTCTAAACATTCAGATACTAGGGGGCAGAACTTCACTGGCGGTAGGGGGACAACTGAAGTAGAACAAGGGTTCTAAGATATAAGAGAAAAATTTAGATAGATTATTATGTTATGATACTCAAAATACCATTCATTTTACAGGGGTAAAAAAGGCAAAAATGTTACTAAGAAGAGACACGGCCCTGATCAAGTCCTATTTACCTCAGCAACATTCTCAGGGCCACCAAGTTCATCAATAAGTTCATCCAGGGTATTAGGAGGGAGGTCTTCAGCTAATTTTTCTAGCTTATCAAGTAGGTCTTTCTTCATCTGCTGGGCCCTTTCCACAGCATCCTGACTCGTCATAAGGCTACTGTTACTATTGGTGTTACTGTTAGCTAAACAAAGAACATTAATTAAAAGTCAGTACAAAGTTTAAATATTTGTTTTATTTAAAGTACATTTCACAGACAATACAAATTTCTACATGGATACCTGGTGCATTGTTAGGAGCAGGTGATATAACTGGTGTAGACGAAAAACTAGGTCGTTTTGATCCAAGACCTGATGCTAATAAGGCACTTTGAATAGAATCTGGATCTATACTTTTCTTCTTTTTTTTATCTTTGTTTTTCTTGTGGTCTTTTCTGATTAACCAGGGATCTGAGTGTTAAGGAAAGAAATACGTCAAATCATTTGTTAAAACATACACAGAATCTTTAAGGAAAACCATCCTTGAAATTTTTTGTATTATTAAACCAATAGCTTATGAATCATCACACCAACTACAGGAGTCCAGTACATCCCATCCATACACCATGGGGTACGAATCTACACTGTGAGGTTAAAAATAACTGCACGAAATTGAGGTCATATTCTCATACAGATGAGGCTCAAACTTCCAGATGACAGACAAGCTGGAACTCTCCACCAAAGCAAAGATTAGAATCTGTGTGATCATTTATGCTGCACAGAAAAAAAGTTGTAATACTTCACTTTTGAATACACTGGAGCATGAACTATCTTTTAGTTTACATCAAATATACTGATCAACTTACCATCTTCATCATCCTCACTAGATTCATCTCTAAATGGGTTGAAATCGTCATCGTCTCCAGAACTCATGTTTTTAGAGCTCTCGTAGTCACTTTCTTCATTATCAGAGGCATCAGATTCACTTCCACTGTCATCAGAACTGCCACCAGTAAGGCCACCTACTTTCCGTGATTTTTTGGCTTCTCGAGTTATTTCTTCACCTACTCCCAAACCCCAAAAAAGAGAGTCAGCCCAAATACATTTCTAAAGATTCAGGATATCACAGCTGGTTCACAAGTTAATGCAAATGAAAAGTACAGAAGAAAAGCATTTATATAAGAATATTAAGAACAAAATTCACAAATAAGCGCTAATGGTTTGGACTCATCGTGATAATAAATGAGGTTATGTTCAATTATTCTCAAGAAGAAATTAGGGGCCGGGCGCAGTGGCTCACGCCTGTAATCCTGGCTCTCTGGGAGGCCAAGGCGGGCGGATTGTTTGAGCTCAGGAGTTCGAAAACCAGCCTGAGCAAGAGCGATACCCCGTCTCTACTACAAATAGAAAGAAATTAATTGGACAACCAAAAATATATAGAAAAAATGAGCCGGGCACGGTGGCGCATGCCTGTAGTCCCAGCTACT